CGTTTTCTCTCGTCAATCGTACCAAAAAGTTGCAATTCACTCATATATGCAAAATTTACTTTCTGTTCTTTCATTATCATCGTAGGTACTACCTAAAGACTGATTAAAATATCTTGTTCCACAACAACCAATTTTTTTAGCATCATTTTCATGTTTAGGCGTAGGATTTATCAGGAAATCTTTTTGCAAAATTGCAGCACAAACACCAAGAAAATTTGTTATAAATGGTTGTATTTTTTTTTCATATAAGGTTCGTAATGGATCTTTAATCGAACTACTAATGAAAATATCATTCTACAAAATCAAATAAAAAATGAATATGTAATTAAAATTAATATTACTTCGTTCTTTTTATAAGTATAAAGATCATAAGTCTATCAATATCACTGAATAAATCAGACAATGGAAAATCATGATAAAGAAATAATTCAACAAAGTCTGCTTGATTACGTTTAAGTGCCAATAAAAATAAATCATTTAAATCAATATTCTAATAAAAATAATAATAGAAAATAGAGAACAACTTTTCAAAAGAAGATTATCCTATAGTTGTTTTTTTTTTCTCTTACCCAATCTGCTTCATTTTTCATAATGTAATTTCTAGCTATATCACACGATTTCATTCTAATGCTAAACGAAGTTGTTCACGTTTACGTTTTATAGTTGCTTCACACCCCTTTTTATCGGAAGTAGCTATATAAAGAAACATTTTCTTTTATTAAAATATATATATATATTTCACCAACCCTTTAATAGAGCTTGTAAAATAGCTAAATCAATATCGGGTTCAACTAAATGACGTGAACTAAGACTAATTATATGCAAAAAATTTCTTCGAGTATGAATGCATTCATAAACTAATTCAAAATTATCCTTATTATCAGTGAGATGTGCATGATTATCTGGTGTAGCAGGTATATCGACTGGACCATTAATTGATAGGAGTTCATCTTTAAGGTCTTCACGCAGTTTTATTTTTAATTCATCATAATACTTTGCTAAAGTATCTGGATCAATACTAAAACAAAAAAAAACCTCACTTTGTAATAAATATTTATTTTATCATTTGTATTCTTGTTTAAATACTATCAATAATATAGGTTGCTAAAGAAATTTTAAAAACTGCAAGATGAAATATGTATAAATGAAATCCTCGGCACATTTAAGTATTGAAATACCAATATGTGTTTAAAATGACATTAGGATTTTGTTCAAAAATGATTATTTTAATAAAATTTGACTAAAGACTTTCGGGTTTCCTATGACTAGAAACGTCAATTAGCAATTCATATGTCTCAATCTCGCAAACTTACAATCAAATTTGATTTATAAATCCTTATTTTAGAAAAATAACTTTGTCTTGATTGAATTGTGTAATTCTTATTCATGACTATCGACTTCATGTTCAAACTAATTTCAAATTTCTTTGAGCTACTCATCATCTTGTAGTAAAACTTCATAAAACATATTGTACACTTTTAAATTAATCAAATATGTTTTTTGTTAGAAAAAGCAATGTCTGACTTTCAAAGAAATCTCTTGCCAATATTTTCAATTAGAAATTATATACAAAAGATATCAAACTAAACGTTAGGCACTTCTTGATCACTCTCTTATTAAACATTCTCTATCTATAATTCATCACTAATCCTATGAAATAGAGTTCTTCGTTGAATTTTTGTTTTTTTTGAATCTCAAAAACAAATAACTTCTAGAATTTAGTATAAATATATGAATAGTTATTTTAATATTTACTTTACTGATGTTTCATCATCAGATTCAATATTTCTTCGATATTCATTATAAAGATGAAATGCTTTAGCAAATAAATCACAACAACGACCTGTTCCTTCGAGAAAAACAGCTGGAATATTGTTTTCAACAACAGCTTCATGAACTATAGATAAATAAAAAACACACTTATTTTTATTGCTTTTTTTGTTCAAAAAATTATCTTTGTTTTAACCTGTTCGAACTGTATTTGGACCACCTTCGACAACAAGTAGAACAACAGGTACTGGATCTACATAAAAAAAAAAAAAAGAATAATTATTGGCTAATAAGAGAACATTTTTCATATGAACCTGAATTTTCTGGTTGTAAAAATGAGGGTGGGGTGTGGGTGTGCGACTTAAAGTGAAGTCCACAACCACACCCACACCCACCCACACCCTTTTGTCTTCAGTCATTTCTGTTTACTCTTTCTTCCGATCGAACATTGACGCAAAAGAAACGAAAGTTTGAAGTGTGATAAAATTCTTTTCTGAGTAAGCAAAAAAAAACGAAGAAAAACAACCGAATAAAGTGAATGGATAACTCTCTGCATGCTGCAAACGACTGTTGTCAGTCACTTTGTCGTTTTTCATTTTGTTGGGAATACCATCTCAGAGGCCTTAAACATCAATCGTGAGTATTTTTGACTAGCAGGATATTTTTTTATTGGACAGTTTTTCAACATTTTCTTAAAATCTGATACCATAAAACGATATGGAACACTATGTTGGGCGTCACTGCCAACAATCAAATAAAAATTTTGCAAATAAATCCATTTGTCCTGCGGAATCAAATAGAAACGAAGCCGCGCAACTCAACGAGATTTTCATTCAGTCAATGTCACTAGTAATACCGCTAGCAATGGCTTGTGAAGACGTCACAAATATTAGCGATAGACTCAAGTTTTCGGCTAATATTGGCCGAATCAGAACCGTCTTCATACAATCAAATGTGTCGTAGAATAGTAACAATTGGAAAATGTTGCATATGCGGAACTCCTTAAAAAACTATACAAGATATGCCGTTTTAGAGGTACATTTCCAAATAAAACTTACATAGCTTTCCCTAGCATATACCTGCTTCACAACAATTCATGCAGACTCTCCCCTGCCAACTAGAATCCGATGGGCTCTATCGATTCACTCATGTCTCATTAATTCCCATCCGGAATCTCGAAATCTTGTATCTAAGTACCCGAAAAGATCTGCTTCCGTATATTCATGCTATCGACTATGTCCACTGTCGTATCGTGAACCACTTGTTAGAGATTACGTGCAATATAGCATGAAGTGCAATCGTCATCCTGCATCCTGACCTTTACATACTCTACCCACACACCCTGAACCAACTGTACTTTAACCCTCACCCACTTACACCAATCCTCAGTCTCACCCATTCCGACCCTGACCTCCAAGAGGGTGTGGGCCTGGAAGGTGCGGTATGCGGGTGGGTGAATATGAATGTAAATGTGGAGTGTAGATGTCGGGTGGATGAGTCTGAGCATCTAGCAAGTGAGAAAAAACACACCCACACCCACACCCTGCCGACTTCAAATTAATTTATTACATGTTCATGTATTTCTCTCGCTTGACTAGCCAATAACCATAACAAAGATCTTTATACGATCAATTAAAGTATGTATGTTCAAACAATGAAAAAATTCATCTTGAAGAAAACAGCTGTCATCGGAGAAATTCATTCTTACATACATATTTGTTATTGAAGGTGTTATGAAAGTTGAAAATTTATATCAAAAAATGGAAGACTTGACACATCGAACGAATTCTATTCACTTGATGCATCATGTCAGAAGAAACAATTGATCAATACGATTTCGATAGTAGCAATCAAAACAATGAGATAACTTTGAAATTCTATTCCTAAATGTATCGTAATTTGCAATAGTCAATCAACAATTGAAATTGATGAAAATCATCAGAATGTTTCGATCGAATTTTGGTCTCATGTAAAATTCTTTTTAATCTTGATTTGACAATAAAAATTTAAACTAAAGATGAGAAAAAACGCTGATCTTCAATCGATCATATATCGATTACCTCATTCGAGATTATTAGGAGAGAAGAGGGTATGGGTGTGGGTAAAGTTTATATTTGATGTAAAAGTATTTCTAACGTCTTTATGTTATAATATGATTTTTATTTTAGATAGGAAATCTGATGGTTCAAATTTAGAATATGTATGCAATTAACATGATTTCAGTTTATTTGTCAATAAAAATTGTGAACATTTAAAATTGAGATAAACTTTAATCATAATACAAAAAAATGGTTACTTCAGATTATTTTTATAACTGGCCATCTTCCAAGAGAAAATATTTTTCCTAGAAGCCTACGATGAGAAAAAAATTTGAATTTGTTTTATTCATAGTGACATTGTATTAAACAGCATCTTCAAATGTTTATTGCCGTGTAGACATTGATCATTTGATTATATAGTTCAATCGACTAGGCACTTGGTAAGTGACATATTGTGTGCATGGTCGAATTTAACCTTTTTCTTTAGACTTCTATCATTTAGATTAGTCCAGATTCGACCAGTATGTAATACTATTATGCGTCATATGCAACTTCGTGGACGTTCGTCCTTTTTTTTGTTTTTTATTTAAAATCACTTTGAACGAAGGGTGTGGGTGGGTGTGCGTCGTGGTTATGTTCTTTCGCGACATCCACAACCCAGACCCCGCATCCCACACTCCAGACCTCACACCCTTTTTTGATGAAAAGAGAAATTTTTTTTATCAAAATGATCCGCGAAAAAAGCTCTA